CGGATCACCCACGACAAACTGATAGGTGTCTTGGAACAGATGGGAATTGATGACCAAAACCATCGTATTATCAAAAATTTGTATTGACATCAACGTGCAAACATACGAACTGGTCAGAATACGACGAAAGCAGAGGAACTACGACGTGGAGTGAGACAGGAGTGTATTTTATCGCCCCTACTTTTTAATATCTACTCCGAATTTATTTCCAAAGAAGCCTTAGATTAAGATGCAGGCATTAAAATCAATGGGATTAATGTCAACAATCTCATATACGCAGACGACACGGTACTGATTGCATCCAATGAAAAAGAGTTGCAACTACTTATAAACAGGGTGACCGAAATATATGTTGGATATGGGTTAAAGATTAACACTTCTAAGACAAAACTTATGGTTGTCAGCAAAACAGAGTTACAACCAATTAACATCAGAGCGTAGGGAATAGAGTTAAAAAGAATCTACCATATCACCTATTTGGGCGCCAATTTTAACGATAACTGGGATATAAGCAAAATAATTCGCATTGAAAAATCCAGAGCTGCCATCTATAAACCAAACAAAATTCTGATTAAAAGAGATAATACATTAAACCTTAAAATCATATTAATACGCTGCTACATATTCACATTGCTGTTTGGCATGTAGAGCTGGGCCTTTACAGCAACTTTAGTGAAAAAACTTGAGGCCTTTGAGATGTGGATTTACCGACGAATATTGCGGATAAGTTGGGTTGATCGAATAACAAATGAAATAGTTTTACACTGAATGAAAAAGTGCACATAAATAACAAAAACAATAAAAATTCGAAAGTTACAATATTTTGGCTATGTAATGAGACATTCAGAGAGGTATAAAATTCTACACCTCATAATACAGGGCAAGATTGCCAGAAGGAACCTAGGAGAACCTTTAGATCTGTGCTAGTTAGGTCATGGATGTATAGATGTCACAGCTAAACTTTTTTTAATTTGTGGAGTAACTATTCTGTAAAATAAATAACTTAAAATACACCAAAATAATATACAACAGAATTTGTTTAATCTTTTTACACTGAGCATGTCCTAACAGTATATGAAAGAATATAATGTCTATGCAACCAATAGTACATTAACTTTAGTGGGGACATCAAGGCAGTGTTGTTTAAATCATAGATAAATAATATAATGTTTAAATAATTAAAATTAAACTTGCGCCATCGCTAAATTTTCAATTACCGAAAACGCTGCCACCAAAATTGTAACGGTCATTTTTGTGAATAGATTATTAATATTTGCATTAAAGTTTTAAATTTTTAAATTGTTTGTTAAATTCAGTAATATTAAATGTGTTTTGCATTAAATTATATTATATGTGACCATGGTTGAATACTGCACGATTTATGCATTATTCAACCTACTTACTTACAGCAATTACCTAAATGCAGCAGTTTATATTTAGGAATTATGTGTCTAGGTGGCCACCATACCTTTGTGAATATACTATCTTAAGCCCTGTCCTCACTTAGTAACATGTTATCATAACTTGTTGGCAATATATTTTTAATAACATGTTGATAACTTCGTGTTCAACGTTGAACGTCCTCATTCGTATTGTAGGTAGCAAGTAACATTTTTATAGCTCAGTCTATTTTGACATGTCCAAAGAAAATGATGCACTTCTCGCGGATGCCGCGTGTGTAGTTGTAGGGCGCAAAGTTAAAAAGAAAAAGAGGAGATTTTTGATACGCCCTACTTTACGTGCACGAAATAAGTAATGTGGTAGTGATCTTTTAAATAACGTAAAAGCTGATGACTCTATTTCATTAAACACCGAACTTCGATATGACGAAAGCTTCAAAAACTTTGCTCGAATGGCAAGTGCCGATTTGGTCATAAAATATCTAAAAAGGACACCTCATTTAGAGACGAAATACCTGTACAAGAACGACTAGCTATTATTCTTAGGTTTTTAGCCACAGGAGACTTACCACAGTTTGATGTATTTGTTTAAAGTCTCAAAGCAGATAATTTCGAAAATAGTTCCGGAAGATTGTGACTCACTAATTGATTAGTTAAGGGAAAACATAGAAGTAAGAACATTTCAATGAATTTATTTTAATGTGCTTACGTGAACCAAAGTTACAGATATTTTATTTTAAATCATTCAAAATTTTTTCAATATAATTTTCGTCTCTATATTCTGAACCCTGCCTCATACTGCAGCCACTTAGTTCACTAGAACTAGGGAAGTAAACTGGAGAGTGGATGGAAAAGTGAACCCTTTTTGGCTACTTTTGTGGACGCGGACCTGTATCATGGTTAGTTCCTAATTCTACATGCACCATATTCGTCATTTGCGTAGCTACATTCGGCTACTGTTGAACCTGTCCTGGCCAAAGTGCTGGAGGAGGATAGTCATATGCTCCCAACTCCGCGTGATATAAAATTTGATTTATATGATACTGAGTAGTGATTTGATAATGTGAAGTAGCTAACTTCCTTAATTTGCAGGCCACATGTTCGCCATAAATCGAAAACTCATCTCTTGTCTGAGTTCTAGTTTGCCAGGATTTCATTATATTATACACTTCTGTAACCATACTTTCATTTTGTCGCTTTACACTTTTTTTGGTGATTGTGTTGTTCAGCTGTCTCTGTAAAAACGTTTTTCTTTACCCTGCAACAAATTCATTAATTGAAATACCGATTTACCGGATTTAAAAAAGTCACTAAATTTGCAATTCCTAAGAGTAATTTACTCTATATTTTTTGTTTTAATTTAAGACGCTAACATCCAAAGATCAATGGAAAACTATAGCAGATGAATATTATCATATATGAAATTTTGGACACTGCGTTGGAGCTATGGACGGGAAACATATCTTTGCAAGCACGTATTGGGAGTGGAAACTAATTTTTTAACTATAAAGGATTCTTTAGTATCGTGCTCTTCGCCATCGTTGATGCTAGATATCGTTTTATCTATGTAAATGCTGGATACCAGGGACGCACATCTGATGGTGGAGTATTTGCGAGTACTGTGATCCTAAAAATTATACAAGATGGCACTTTAAAGTTGCTGAAAGAAACTTTTCTTTCTGGGAAAAATGACCTCAAAATGCCTTACCTTTTTGTAGCTGATGATCCTTTTCCCCTACAACAGCATATTGTGAAGCCTTATTCAGGTGTACAATCGAAAGTAACAAAGAAACAAAAAAGAGAATTTTCAACTATCGCTTGAGTAGAGCTAGGAGGGTGGTTCAAAATGGTTTTGGAATAATATCTTCAGTTTTCCGGTGTTTACGCAAACCACTACTTCTTGAACCAGACAAAGTAAGCAAAATTGTACAATTGTACTCATGATACTATGAATAACAAGATAGGATCTTCCCGTAGCTCAAAATCGGTCGGGTTCGCGCATGCCGTCATTGGAGACTAGAATTTGAATTCTTGTTAAAGTTAAATGAGATTTGTATGCATTCTGTGATGAAATTACTAGACGAAAATAAGTTAAGAGGTTTAATAATCACAATAATCGTACACATAAGGATATCTCCAAACTATTTATTAAAGATTATTTATTGATATATACAAAAACTGACATTTCGAACGTGCAAGTCTCCAATGACGTCACAAAAACATGCGCAATATCTTATCTTATAGTCATAGTATCATGACTGTACTTGTATTCGTATATTTGCACAATTTCCTGCGAAACAGTATATCTAAGTAGGTTACACTCCACAAGGAACTTTTGATTCGGAAGGTAAAGATACAGAAGAGGTATTGCCAGGTCAGTGGAGACTAAATAATAATAATAAATCGGAAACATCGTTTCTTCCGATTTCAAAAAATGCAAGAAAGCCTGCATCTGATGCTTAAACAATAAGGAATTAATTAAGTGAATATTTTATTTCAAATGTAGGAAAACTATCATGGTAGAGAGACTATTAAACATATTTTAATTTATTTTAGTTTTTAAATAAAGAAACAATAAAATCACCACATATTTATAATTAAACTTTGTAGGTACTTACCATAACTCCATCTTCAATAGTAGGACGCGGCTTGTTCTTATCCTTTAAAACCATTAAACTCTTAAATGCAAACCACTTGCTCACGTAAACACAGAATAATAATCAGAATGCCCACTCTCAGATTCCGCCTTTGAAGTTTTTCAGCACGCGCGCCATGTTTTAGAAGGAAACACAGAACAAAGACTCAGATTAAGAATCACATTTGGTGTAATGGGTCTTTATCGATATATGATTTGTGGGGTTATGTAATTGTTTATATTTATGTTTAATTATATTATATTTATGTTATTATATTTAACAATGTTAAAATAATTGTATAGTATGTATATGATTGCCGTAAGTCAATTAAACCGGATTAATTTTTCTATGCACACCACATAAATTTTCATTAAACAACACTGGTTCCCTTTAAAACATGGCGGAACGTCTGCGCGAACGAGATGCGCGTACTTAATTTTCCATGGAGAGTGGTAATTCTGATAATTTATTATTCTGTGACGTAAATATCATCAACTCGTCTCCTGAACGAAATTTACTTTTCTTCAGCATAACAAATTCAAAACAAAAGGGAGACATAAGTGTAGACTCGGCGCCAACATGTCGCAAAAACTATGTTATCAACATTCTTTCATCATGTTGATGTTTCCGCAAAATGCTGAATAACATTGTTGATAGCAGTGTTATGTTGCAAGTGAGGAGGGCCTTTATACAGCTTAATGCCATCCGTAATATGTGAAAGTTGATATTGTTACCCTTTAATTAAATTAAACGTGAGACTGTTTTGTCTTTTATAATATCTGTCTTAGTCGCCTTTTTTGGGTTATAATTTATTTTCTAATATTGATATAACAGTTCCCTTTTATGTATGGGTTTTTCTGTAATAACACTCGAAGCTCCTTCTTGTAATTTCAAGTCTGCTCTTTCCCTTTTAGTTTTGTATTTAAATAAGATAAATTCTAAGAAAAATAAAACTACATGCGGTAGTTGATGTACAGTTATTTAATAAATAGTACAAATAAACGTTTAAAAAACAAAACAATTATATATTTTTATAAATACCAACAAAACGAAAGTAACATGTATCTAGAACAAAGACTGACTAGAATAATTTACACTAGGTTACAATTTGTGACTAGAAAATGATCTATAGCAATACATAAGTTAATAATCCTTAGATTCTCGGTTTTGGCATACAGGTCTAGATTGTATAAATTGAATATAACGAAGGACAAATCATATTCCTTGTTTCATTATTTATAAATTAAATATATGTTTATGCTCTATTAGTTTAAATAGTTTTTAGAATACTTAAGATCGGAACTGTTTTTGAATAATTCTCTTGAGAACAAGCTGCTTCTGATTGCCTGAAGTCTGGTTTACGCCGTTCCACCTATATTTGAGATTGGGACTAATGATTAAGCGGTTATTATTTAATATCAATATACACCCCTTTATATTGATCTGTAGACTTCTTCAGATCGCATTAAGAAAGAAAAACTGAAACTGGAGCATAAAGATAAAGAGAACATTAATATAAAGGAGCTCAAGTGAATTTCTCTTTGATATAGATCTAAGATCACTCATTGTATGTTTGTGTTAAATCCTTGTCTCTAGTTAGTTTTAAAACTCAACGAGACAGGAGAAAATTTTTTAGCAGGATTTAGATCATAAACATAGTTTAGCAGTAGTTGATGACAACGATTTCATTTCCACGAGCCAGGAACTTCCAAAAATACCAAAATACCATAAGAGTAAACTATAAAGCTTGGACTTCAAATAAACTATGAAAAACAAGGAATATAATTCTTCTTCTATGCTCGCATTTCTTATGCTCTATAAGAGTATCAGATTAATAATTAAAATAATACCGTGCACAAATTTGCGCATATGGCACAAATGAGGCCAATGTTCTGCAAGGTCTGTCTCAGGATAAGTCAGTACTTGGAAGCGTTGCTTTTATCATTTGCCCACAGTAGCAGCAAATCATTTAAAGGACGTAGTGTTAGATGAGCAAAGTCAAGATGGTTTGACGATATACAAATGAAATGAGGCAAACATCTTGAATAGTATCAATGAGACGCAATAACCCGCTTGTAGCCCATTATTGAAATTTTTGTTATCAGTTTGTTGATACTTTTCTGTTCCCTATTTTATAGTGTGCTTATGCCTACAAAATAAGCAACAATTGAACACCGTAATAGATTTTTGTGACGGTAATAAGCAGCAAATAGATTCGAGTTTGGACTATTTTTGTCTTTTTAGGACTTCAAGTTTATCCAAATTATAATTGTAATCTACTGTCACCATTAAGTGTTGCAAACTATGATAATTACCGCAATACCCATCTATCTGAACATTTATAATATAATCATTTTACGCAATGAAAAATTAACAGCAGATACTGATTTTACCATTGGTTCGTTCCTAAATCCAAAGAAGAGTATTCTAAAACAAAGGCATACAATTTTGCAATGTTGGAGGATACTCAGATGCTTGTTGGTTTGCGGACTGCGTTGGTTGTGCTGACTGAACAGCTGCCATAGCCATGGAAACTGGAGTAGATGTTGGATGATAGGGAACCTTAAACAAAATTATGTATGTTTACTGAAATAAATGTTATGATACTGCTTTTATGGTACAAATAACATTAACAAAAAAAATATCATTAATCATATTAGTTAATAAAGATTTTAAAACACGAAAGTAGTAAACACAAATACTGTTTGATAACAATGCGATCTAACAAATAAAGTTTTTTCACAAAACTTGTTTAATAAATAAAGAATATTAATTAAATTATTTCAATTTCTCATGTCACTAAATTAAAGAGAGTCAGTTTTTTTACATTCAACTATTCAAACCAAACTGCCCTTAACGCACTTCGTCTTTGTCTTCTCAAATAGAAGCACGATAGTCAAACTCCCATTTTAGCTTCTCAAATAGAAAAAAGTAAATAGTTCATCTCACGATTCTCAAATAGAAGCAGATTTCAAGTTTATTTTATTTTATTAAAAAGTATCTTATTAAAATTTATTAAAACCTAATTAAATTTAGTGTTAGTGCATCTAATATGTAAGTACCTGAAATTATTCTTTAATACAGAAGAAAATCGACAGTTTTTGTGCCAATATTTGTAAATGCCAGTCCGGTAAATTACAGGGTTGCTGGATATACAACTAAACTTTTTTGCTCTATAAATCGCATTTATTTAGTTTTAAAAACAATTAATATAAACAGTTGTGTATTTTAAGAACATTTTATTTGAACATTTGTTTTTTATTATCATTTAAAAGGGTGATTTGTTGGCAATTCCGATACTGCTATTTATTTATGTAAATGATAAAATAAAAATATTTCTACCGGAAACCTTATTTTAATTATTCTATTGTTAATTTTACTATTTACTACACTATTAATAATCCGCAATTTTGGGACCTATTGGTCGCTGGTCCTTCGAGAGTTGTATCTATTTTTGATCTACCAAATGTAGGAAGGTGAGAATATAGTTTTCCAAATACAAGACTTCCAACTACAAGACGAGAAAGTTAAGGAAAAAGTTCAAAGACCACTGAACGAAAATTTAGTTTGGGAAAATACCGGTGAGAATGTCGATGAGGGCTTGAATAAATTCATAACAACTAGAAAATGTGTGAAAAGGATATAAAAGGTAGCCCAAAGATAAAAAAAAGAAAGACTTGAATCACAGAAAACATATTGGATTTGATGGAGCAACGGCGACTAGAAAAAACAACGAAAAACTTTATAAATGTATACAAAAAAAACGACAAAATACGAGACGCAAAAAGTCAACATCTAGCCAAACCGTGTCAATAGTTAGCGTAATAAGTAAACAACAGAATATAAGACCGTGAGTCATGTATTGTGAATAAAAGTGATATGGAGAAGATTCGAAACTGCACAATTCTATAACGCTTCAGCGAGACTACTGAGATTATAAAAAGCATCAAGAACAGAAAGCTGGAGTACTTCGGACATGTAATGAGAAGTCCCAAATATACGATTGGTATGGTATTAATACAAGCATGCTATTTAGGGTGACAGTGAATAAAATTAAGAACTATAATGATACGCACCGTTCTGAAAGGACATGGTACATGAAGAAGAAGAAAGAATACGCTCTTTTTTCTCAGCAGCGAAACAATCTTTTCTGTCTCTCTTGCCATGCTCTCTCTTTATGATTTGTGCATATTACAGTTAAAGTGAAATTGGCTCATCTGTAGTCTATACTCGATCAACATGCTGATTCCAACAATACTCCAAATGGCCTTGGCGTATTTTCAAATTTGGAAGCAGATAATAATCGCTTTGAGAATAATCTGCACTCGCTATTTGCTAAGGCTGTCGCAGACTTGCCAGCAGGTGCGTAATACTTTTGAAAAAGCTCTTATTTTCATAAATGACGAGATTTCTAAGTTTTTGCAACAAACTGGCATAATATCCTCCATTTATTGTTTTCTTTTTTATGTAAAATTCAACCAATATTATTTCATCGGAATCCTAAAGCACCCTTGACATAACCATTTTTTCGTAGTGTGTCTATTTTTTTAACTGTGCTTTGGGTTCAATATGAAACGGCACAAAAAGTCCTGTGATTGTGGCGAAAATATTGAACATTTGTTCTTTTTTATGTCCAATTTTGATATCCCGATATGTGAAATACTTATACTCTTGCTCTCTGGATGGATAACATACAAATGAAGCTAAACTTAAAGTTAGTCTAAATTTGGATCAGCATTTACTTACCGCAGAGTTATGATGAAATCTTGGATCCAACATCATAGCCGCAGCTACAGCAGCCGCAGTTGAAGTCGCAGTCGACGGATTAGATCTTGCTGCAGCAGCTGCCGTCAACATATGATGGTTGACAATATTATTATTCGTATGTTGTGGATTATTTGCTGTGGAACGCTGATTGTGACCTGCCGATGTTGTCGCTCCGAGTATTTGATTGTGAATGTTATGGGTGTGAACAGCATGAGAGTGATGAAAATCTGCAGATTCGCCAGAAGTAAAATGATGATAGGTAGAGTTTAGGACAGTCAAATTTGTAGCTAAAACAAAAGAACATAAAATGGAACTACTGGCAAAATACGATATACCATAAACATACCTGTTGGAGTTGAATGGTTTTGATGGTGCATTATTAATTCTTGTATTTCTGATCCTAAATTTTGCGTAGATGGTGCCACTGTTGTGCTGTTAGTCTGCGTAAAATTGACATTATTTGTGTTTGTAGTAGTTGTTGGCAAATCTTGGGAAGTCTAAAACCGTTTAAACTACATGTACTAAATGTAATAAAGTTACTGACTGGACAAAAAGAAATATTTTGATGTTTTAAATTAATTTTAAAATTATTTAGTAGTTTCAAATATGTAAATCCAGATGGCAGTGATGATGGAATAGCTATTCCTAAAAACGTTCTATGATATAGCCCGATAGGGTTTATATTATTATACCTTTTATAAACGAATTTTTTAAATACAAACTGAAATATATTTTTTAAATATATACGGAAAATGTATACACTCCTACTATTTATAATAATTCTGCTTTTTCAGTATAAGACGTCTGCAATAGTAAGTTTATTTGAGCTGTTAATAGTGTGAAGTAGGAATTTTTGTGTTATAGGTTTCCGACTATGAATCTGTCAAAATATTCCCGTGCTGAGCGAATGGACTATACTAACGAAACCACACTAAATGGTACATATAGTGTGTGGAAAGAATGTTATGGTTAAAACTCAAAACAACTATTTAGAACAGTTGCTTCGAAAGTTAGAAGGGCTATGATGATTGCCAACCCCCATTAACGTATATGGTACTTAAAGAAAAACTTTTGTAAAATCCTTCGTGATAAAGGGAAATTTTTGTTTTACTTTATTTTACCAAATTCATTTGGCTAAAAATTTGTACAATCAAACTTACCTGTACTTTCGTCTTGCTGGTGGTACCATTATTATTCCTTAACGGCCGTGCTTTATATGGCACCTTCGCAGATGCGTTCTCTCCATGATGTCTAGTATAATGCTCCTTCAATTTATCCCTTCTCGAACTGGCGTAATCACAATGAGAACACTTAAACGGCTTTTCCTCGAGATGGATTCGTTCGTGTCGTACTAGATGAGATTTCTCCATAAAACTTCGGCCGCATACTCCACAAACGTGAGGTCTGACACCATTATGGCTCTTAGCATGGCTCGCTAGTTGGGTTTTTTTGGAGGTGGTGTACTTACAATGAGGATATGAACAACGGTATATGTCTGCTACAAAATAGTTTTATTTTAAGAGGAACGAAGTGTGAGTGAATACATTTTATGACTCTTAACTTTGACGTATTTGGAGTGTCGGACGGATAAAAACACCCCCTTTAATTGTCCAACAAAATAATTTTGGTTTAAAAAAAAACTTTCGATTATCAAATATTTATTGAGGTCATAAATTTTTTGAATACATCAAATCGACGACTTTTCACTGAATCACACAAAAACGCCCACGTCCCGAAAATTTTCCATATTAGAAAAATTGTTTGACTTTGAATTGTGGATCTTTACCCGTTCGTCATTGAGACCTGACCAGATAGATTATATACTTTTAATCTGGCATTATTCTCTTCCACATAGGAAAATAAAGACAAAATAGAAATCACACGTTTTTGTGCAAAGGAATATAATGTTGTATAAAATATAGCTATAAAAAAGAAAATCTAAGTTCGTCTGTAATCATTTCATCACAATTCAAGACAATTCAATTCTGTTTACATCTTTATTATCAGTTCCTTATTCAGATACATCCCAAGATCGATGGATTCCTTCACACTTAATAACAAAACAATAGAACAAAAGAAGTACTGCCCGTCGGTATTTTTGGATGATATTGATTTGACAAGGTTTGGCATAATGTACTCGTGTAAATATCTGCTCGACAATGAGTTGAAATTAGACCTTAATGTGCAGCTTAGAATCCGAATGATTAGATGTTACGTTTTTTCTGTCTTACTGTATGGCTGTGAAAGTTTGACAATGGACTCTGAAATAGAAAAAAAAATAGATGCCTTTGAGACGTAGATATACAGACGAATGTTGAGAATTCCATGGGTACAAAGAGTTACTAATGTTAAGGTACTTCGTCGAATTTGTAAACAAAAAGAATGACTAAGAATAATCAAAGAGAGGAAAATGCAATACTTGGGTCATGTGTTGAGAGGCGAAAGACATGAATTACTTCAAGTTATACTGGAAGAAAAAGTACAGGGCAAAAGATCAGTCGGAAGACGCCAGAACTCATCATTTCGCTATAACTTTTATGTTTGTAAACATTTATGTATAAAAATTTATAACTGGGTACTATTAAATATCAGAAATTATAATTTAATATATACTTTAATATAGCTAATAGAGGGCGCCACATATGCCACATACGTGGCATACATTTGCACTTAACTTTTATGTTCTTCAAGTTACCGGTATTTTTTATAAAAAATATTAAAGATACATTATTTTAACAAAAAAAAAGGTATACTTGTTAATACTTTCAAAACTCAACAGTTTTCGAGATAATCGCATTTTAAAAATCAACTGCATAATTCTGATTTAACGCAATTACTCCAGACAATGAAAGAAAAATAGATAAAAACATCAACACTTCTCAATTTTGTTATAAAATACCTTTAATAAAGTTAGTATTTAATGAAATATTAAATAAAATAAATATATCAGCAGGATAATTATTAATCGAATTTGATAAAATAACAGAATAATTGGATTTTACATCAAACATTTTACGTTTTGTATTAAATTAAAGTCATAATCAAAACATTTTATTTACAAACCAAATTAAGAAATAGTTAAACTAAATAACATTAAACTTTTTGTCAAAGTAAGTGTTCGATATGTCCACCATTTTCTTTAATTCATTTGTAAATACATTGCATAAAATATCGTCTCATATTAAATAGCACATTGATTCTAAAGAAACTGCTGCAGTACTTATTATAAGTATAATAATAGGTATTCTTTTGCGATTTTTATGAATTAACTACTTATATTAATATCTTACCACATGACCAAGGAATATGACTATCACGAACAATCCAACGTTCAGAAAAGTTGTTTTTAAATACTGTTCTCACTCCCCTTTCTCTGTAATGTATTGGTGTGCCATCTTGTATAAACCAAATATTTAGCCTTAAGTTTGATGACAATTCTTCCAATAAATCAATAAAATCATTTTATAAAAAATGTAAATAAATCTCAGAATTCAAATTGCAAGGTAATTCTCATATCCGTGAAATATCATTCAAAATTCATATTTAAAATGCATGTCCTATGGTTTGGAACCATTGGTAACTATTTTTACGGATATGCGAATTACCTTGCAATTTGAATGTCGAGATTTATTTACATTTTTTATAAAATGATTTTATTAATTTATTGGAAGAATTGTCATCAAACTTAAGGCGAAATATGTGGTTTCTACAAGATGGTACACCATTACATTACAGAGAAAGCTGAGTTAGACAGTATTTAAATACAACTTTTCTGAACATTGGATTGTTCGTGGTAGTCATATTCTTTAGAGCAGTATCATATAATAATACTGCAGCAGTTTCTTTAGAACCAATGATGCTATTTAATATGAGACGATATTTTATGGAATGTATTGACAAATGAATTAAAGAAAATGGTGGACATATTGAACACTTACTTTGACAAAAAGTTTAATGTTATTTAGTTTAACCATTTCTTAATTTGGTTTGTAAATAAAATGTTTTGATTATGACTTTAATTTAATACAAAACGTAAAATGTTTGATGTAAAATCCAATTATTTTGTTATTTATCAAATCCTATTATTTTATCCAGCTGAAATATTTATTTTATTTAATAATTCGTTAACCATTAACTTCATTAAAGGTATTTTATACCAAAATTCAGAAGTATTGATGCTTTTCTTTAATTTTCTTTCGTTCCTGGGGTAATTGCGATAAATCAGAATTATGTAGATGATTTCTAAAATGCGATTATCTCGAAAACTGTTGAGTTTTGAAGATATTAACAAGTATACCTTTTTTTGTTAAAATAATGTATCTTTAATATTTTTTATTAAAAATATTGGTAGCTTGAAGAGCAAAAAAGTTACGTGCAAATGTATGCCACCTATGTGGCATATGTGGCGCAATATATCAGCTGCATCAAAGTATACATCAAATTATTATTTCTGATATTTAATATCTGAAATCAGCATTCTATTACAGCAACTTTACTTAAATCGTAATGTTTTAAATTGTAGAATCTGCGGTTTCTTTTTGTACAATTACTTAAGAACCACCCTGTATAACATAAGATATAACATAAGTTTTGCACCACCAAAAATGTTGACAATTTTCATAATTTTTCCGTGAACGGATTAACGGATTCCGCTCATTTCTTTTATTTCCGATTTTTTCTTGGCTATTAGTACACTGTTAGGCAAAGGTTTACCCAAACTTCTCTTTTGGGTTTATACAAGATGGAAGAAAGGAAATGTTTTTCTTAAGTTTGAGACACTCTATAGGGAGGACAAGGTACAAGAGTGGATTTACATCGAAATTATGTTGTAGTCTCATGTTTTGTGAATAATTAGTTTTTTTAATTTCCCTGATTATCTTTCAAAACAAATAAAAATAGACGATTTTATTCTTCAACTTGCTCCTCACAGCAATTTAATGAAATGCCTATTTTCAATAAAAAGCAACTACAGTGGAGATGGGCAAATCAGAACTGACCCGAGTCAAAGAGCCGAATCTTCGGAAAGATCCCACTGATCCGAATGTTAAAATTAAATGTCACGGGCCACGAGTCAGTAATTTCTAGTCTAGTTCTTTTGAAGTGAATCTGAATTGTAAATATCAATCTAATCTAATCCACTAATATTATTCCGAATATCAAAGAAGACTCGAAATTTTCATCTCTAAACGAAAACTGCGCCGTTTGACAATAATGTCAGTCTTATGAAAGTTCAGTCATTTGAAAATTGATTTTGTATAACTTTTTATTGTTGTTTATTTAGAATATGGAACGGGTTAGAATATGCGAATCTGTCCAAGCGGTAACATTACGTAATAAGGGATTAAGCTATCGTGCCATTGGTATGAGAATGAGATTTGCTCATACAACTATTTCTTATTCTTCTTCCATATAGTGGAACTCTAGGGGTAGTTTACCCCTGCAGGTGGTTAATTACTCGGATTCACTAGATATTCATAATTTCTTTATTAGTTCTTTAAGTACAATAATAGAGAGAGTACCCAGTTGACGGATGACAACACTAGCTTCGACTGTCCTCTTAATTCTTCATTCTTAATAATAATTCTACTCCCGTGATATGCAGCTATTTAACTCACGTGCGTTCGTTTATATAATATTGATTTACTTATTTAATTTGTACACATTATGTAAAAAGCTTTTGATTACATTGCAAATTTCACTAGGTCATCGTGCATCCCTTTTACACCGATATTTTCAATATCATTAACAAACAATCGCGTTTAGTAATAATAGTGTAATGTTATTAAAAGGATTTTAAATTTTTAAACTGAATTACGTTACTTGGATCTGATGCTTAATTAAATCCCGTTAAATATTGTCAGACACTTTAGGGAAACTAATAGGTAATTTAACAATCGTAAAATAGTTTCGAAACACAATTCAGATTTCTGCTTTATAATCTGAGCCTTCTAAGAATTGCAAGGCAAACAGACGTTGATAAAGGATGTTAAAAGATGTTAAAAGAGACATGGGGAATCTAATGCCGGGTCCAGACCAAGTAGACAAAACAAAAACATTCATGTTTCGCGACAAAGTGGCGACAAATCGAAAACATTTGTTGAGACATTTCTGAAACAATTTTGTTTTGTTTGCAGATTTGAAAACTTTTTCAGGTCCCGTCTCAGGTCGGTAAAGATCAAAAGGTCTGTGTTTTGTCTGTGTTTTTGACGACAAGTTGTCGACGTAGTGTGGACGCGTGTGCGTGCCAAAACAAGTTAAGCAGTAGGAGAAATAGAATGTACAATTTTTATCAAAATCAAGTGTATTTTTCTGTTGTGTAGTGATTAAATAAATACTAGTGTATTTTTCTAAACATGTCGGGGGACAAAAAGTGGAATACACAAAATACATGCAAGTTAATAGAACTTTACAGGGAGCATCCGATATTATGGGACCCTAAAAATAAAGATTATAAAAATCGCTACAAGAAAGCCGATGCATTAAAGGAAATTTTTTTATCGCTAAATGTGTCACTAAATTATGTTGAAAAGAAAATAAAGAATGTTAACAACCAGTATGCTAGAGAAAGACGATGTTTGGGTTTTCGTTTAGCAACCTGGGATGATGATGAGAGCAAAAAAAAAACAACTTGCGGCTAGCAATAAATCTTCAGTTTCATTTTTTTCTTGATTAAAACGCCACATGGTTAACCAACACTAATCACAACAACAACGTCACCAACTGAATTTTTTTTTATATTTTGTTCTGGTGTGGACAGTTTGTCTCAATTTTGTTTTGTCTTTTGACGACAAATTTTGTCGTCGGTTTATCGTGTTTTTCTTTCAGAATTGTGTTTTCGTTTTGTCTGCTTGGTCTGGACCCGGCATAAAATTTGCATTCCACGACATGTCTTTTACAACTAAGCAGAAATCCTTAGCGAATTGTGCTTCTTATACTCCCACAGAGTAAATCCGAATAAAATGAGAAAAGGCAGCAAATATTTGATTTCACGCAAACAAATCCTATGTATCTCTTGATACGTATTTCGACCTAATAGGTCTCGTCAGAAGAGCTATTCATAGGGGTTCTCAACGTGAAAAATCAATATTTTCTGCCTTTTAAGAAGCAACAATAACATGGCTTCGATACGGACGCACTAGCGACATCTAATTTAACAATAGTAAAATAGTTTCGAAACACAATTCAGATTTCTGCTTTATAATCTGAGCCTTCTAAGAATTGCAAGGCAAACAGACGTTGATAAAGGATGTTAAAAGAGACATAGGGAATCTAAAATTTGCATTCCACGACATGTCTTTTACAACTAAGCAGACATCCTTAGCGAATTGTGCTTCTTGTACTCCCACAGAGTAAATCCGAATAAAATGAGAAAAGGCAGCAAATATTTGATTTCACGCAAACAAATCCTATGTATCTCTTGATACGTATTTCGACCTAATAGGTCTAGTCAGAAGAGCTATTCATAGGGTTTCTCCACGTGAAAATCAATATTTTCTGCCTTACGACTCAATAATAGGTAATTATTCCATACGACCACGGCAAGGTAAACCTCGAGTCACTAAAGCTATTCAAGATCGATACATTAGACTCCGTGCTTTAAAGGAACGTTTCACCACATCTAGGAGTATTTTAATGCAGCTCGCAGTTCATCATGTCCATCCTACCCTTGATACTGTCAGAATACGTCTTTCGGAAGAGAATCTTTAAATCAGAATCCCAGTTCAAGGACCTTTGTTGAATGTAGACCATCGCAGGAATTGACTAAAAGAACATTTCTGAAGAAAAGAACAAAGAGAAGAAAAATATCTGAAGACTTTTAAGGTTACCAACTAGAAAAACGAAGTAAGGAACTGATCAGAATGGCAGAAAATCACATCCAAGACTCATAAAGGTTTGATGAACTAAAAATAATTAATTTAATTCGTTAATATTTTTGTCTCACTTTTGTTCCTTAATATTTTGTTCCTATGAATAGAATAACGGACACAAGTAGAACATATGGACTGAATATAAACACCAGCAAAACCAAGTTAATGATCATCAGCAAGGAAAACATAACTGGAGCAAATCTGTTTGTGAACCAAACAGATTTGCCAATGAGTCGTGGGACAATACCCAAAAGATTAAATGTAGCATCGGAAAGACAAAAAGTGCATTCTTGACTACGATCTCTGTGTTCAAGAGCCATGACATCACCTTAGAAACAAAAATAAGACTTCTTAAATTTTACGCGTACTCAGTGCTTCTGTACTGAGTAGAAACGTGAACATTGAAGGCGGAAACTCTATCAAAACTTCAGGCTTTTGAGAAATGCTCATACAGAAGGATCCTGAAGATACCATTGACAGACAAAGTCACCAATGATGAAGTACTACGGAGGATGAACACAACTGCGGATTTGGTCAACATCGTGAAGGGCCGTAAGCTGCAGTATTTATATGCAGGGGCATATAATATATGCAGGGACATAGAATGAGAAATCAAGGCAGATATGAGCTACTTCAATGCATTTTGCAAGGTAAAATTGAAGGAAAAATGGTCCCAGGACGAAGAACAATATCATGGCTTGCTAACCTAAGAGCATGGTATAGAAAGACCTCAACACAGCTATTTCGTATAGCAACCAACAAAATATCACAGCCAGAATGATCGCCAACGTTTGGAACGGACGGGCACCCTAGGAAGAAGACCTGTTCTATTTGTTTAATGTTTACATACATTAATATTGTTAATGTTTCTTTGCAATTATCATAAATTTTTTTTTCTTTGTACTAAGTAATTCAGATTTAAGGTCGCGGCATATTATCATGCCCGTATAGTTTCCGGCAGGTAACGTTTCCAGTCTATCAATCGGACTGCACGTTAACATTTTGAATGTGAACGTTGAAGAAAGAAAAACTGTAGTAAAAAGAAGGTGTGAAGTACATCCAATGCTAAGAGAAGGGAAAAAGGAAGGTATTTATGCAAAGAATGAATTGATGACGATGAAAAATATTATGGATATTTTAGAATCAATAGAATTCAGTTTGAATATATTTTAAATTTAATTACACTTTTAGTTAAAAAACAAAATACTACATTTAACGAAGCCATACATATCAAACCAAAGAGTATTTACGAAAAAGAAGTATCACTCCCGTGCAAAAGTCCTAATTGTTTATCACTTCCGTGATTAATTGTCACAAAGCAATGAAAACACATCCATAAATGACAAAATAGCCTCGACAATTATTTTTTTAATATTATGTAATTAGCTACGTAAAAGCTACGGGCTGGAAATGCAACGTGTATGATAATATGCCACGACCTTTAGACGAAATTGTTCACTTGTTTCTATTAGTTTGCCTAGTAATCTGCAATCTAATACAATATTAGGATAGTTCTTATCGTTAATTTTATTCAAGTTGTTTCATTATTTCAATAAATTCATTTAAATCCACAGACAATACTATGTTTTACGCTTATGTTTTGTTGTTTTGTCTGCAATTCTTCTGAGATATATTTTTAAATTCCGGCATTCTCTTCCAGTAAATTACATTCTTTCAAAAAGGCTGAACCAAAACATTTTGTTACATTAAAAACATCAAAATAAATGGTCGTCTGTCTTACATCCCTGATTTAGCATGCATTTATCAACGCCTGCATATATGCTTAATGTCTTTAAAATGTACGATTGAACTCATTTGAAGTAGAATGGAAGCATTAAAAATTAACTAGAATGTGTTCAAAGTGTATTAATCTTCATGAAAGGTATTTTATTATTTTAAAATAATATAATTATTTTTAATTGCTTGTCTCAAAACTTATACTGTAACGTGTGGATTTACCTGCATGAATCCTTTTATGTGCAATCATATGGCTAATAAACTTAGTATGAAATCCACACAAATCGCAAGACAAATTCTTCTCTGTTGAATGGTTCAGAAGATGAGCTTCCAGATTTTGACCGAATTTGAATGATTTTGAACAATGTTCACATTTGAAGGTTTCTGGCGTGTGCATTTTCATATGGGAAATGTAGTTCTGTTTCAAACGGCATTTGAACGTACAAAATGTGCATTGGTAGATAGATTCGTCTAGATGATGTGCACGATGACTGATTAATTTGGATATTTGTTCCACGCTAAAGTTACCTTAAAAATAAAATTTATTTAAAATCACGGATATGTGGAGTTTTTTACGATTTTTGATAAATAAAAATAGTGGACACTTTAATTTTATTAATAATATTTAGTCTTTGTCAAAGTCTACAGAAAGTCTTTGTCAAAGTAAGGTCGATGATCAATTGAAACGTTTATTTGAAAAACAACACATGCCCAAAAACGAATATGAACCACTTGAGCAGAAATAGCTAATAGCTAATTTCGAGTAAAACAATTCTTGCATCGACCACATCTACATTTTAACCCAACTAAATGAAAAACAACCAGGTGAAGATCATGCGAGGAGTAAGGTAAGGGTGTGTGCACTCGCCGACTCTTTTCAATATATACTCTGAGGAATATTTTACTGAAGCCTTCACAAATCTAGAGATGGGAATCTGAGTCAACGGTGAATACATTAATAATATCCGCTACGCCGATGACACTAGCAACCAGCTTAAATGATCTACAAGCCTTACTAGACCGAGTGAGAACTGTGAGCGTAACATACGGACTAGACCTTAATATTAAGAAAACTAAATTCATGATTGTCAGCCGTGCAAATTTAGCCGGGGCACTAATGGCAGGTAGCGAAGAGATCCAGAGAGTCGACATATTCACTTACCTCGGAACTACCCTCAATTCACAATAGGACTACGCTCAAGAGATTAGATCCCAAATTGAAATGGCGCGGTCTACATTTATCAAATTATAGTTTATTCGTCTTCCGGGTTTGGACCGTGTCATTTGTGAGTGACCCAAAAGTGGGTTCATCTCGACGTTTCGCTACAATTGTATGTAGCTTCTTCAGGAGAACAAAAAAGAAAAAAGAAAGAAAGAAGAAAACAAAAGAACAGGAAGATGGGTAGTTAGCAACGGTAACTCAGTTACTCAACGCAACCAGAGGCGAATACTAACTACCAAGATGGGCATTTGGTCACAGTAACTCAACTACTCAACGCAGCCAGAGGTGAAAACCAAATGCCAGGACAGGGATTCACGTCCAACAGCTCAGAACACTAACGCGTCGAGAGGCGGGGAGTGAATCCGACGATTACTCCGCTACCGCTCTATTTATAGTCGCGGTGCCTGTCGTGTCGGGTCGTATCGGCACACTTCGTGGCGCGAACGTCAAGAAGCGCGCGCTGGCCAATCATGTGGCTGCATCGTGGTGGCGTGACCGGATTCACGTCGGATTCACTCCCCGCCTCTCGACGCGTTAGTGTTCTGAGCTGTTGGACGTGAATCCCTGTCCTGGCATTTGGTTTTCACCTCTGGCTGCGTTGAGTAGTTGAGTTACTGTGACCAAATGCCCATCTTGGTAGTTAGTATTCGCCTCTGGTTGCGTTGAGTAACTGAGTTACCGTTGCTAACTACCCATCTTCCTGTTCTTTTGTTTTCTTCTTTCTTTCTTTTTTCTTTTTTGTTCTCCTGAAGAAGCTACATACAATTGTAGCGAAACGTCGAGATGAACCCACTTTTGGGTCACTCACAAATGACACGGTCCAAACCCGGAAGACGAATAAACTATAATTCTGACTCTGGCCGTGGAAGCCTACGATTTCATTTGACCAACCTCTACGGGGAGGTTATATTCCGCAAAACCTCAGAGTTCTCCAATCTTCGCTCTAAAGTTTCATCTCTACTTTCTTCGCTCACCTTCCTCTCTAGATGTCGTGATAATAACTTGGTTCCCAATTTTCTTGTTCTAAAACATCACATTTCCTCTTCATCTTCTTCCCGAATTCTACATCGAGCCAGCCTATCTCTACTTCGTGAACGGATTCAACATATTCGAAAAACCCTTAATTTTCAATCCCAAAAACTTTTTAAGCTGCATCTTGAACTCTCCAGTATTCTTAGTGTCGATGATTGGTCACTTTTAGACCGCATTTCCTATCATCAAGCCGATAAAATCCTTCTTCTAAGCAACGAAACTCACAAAAAGAAATTCCAATCCCTTGTATCTAAGAAGAAAAAATCACATTCCACCACTTCTACTTCTCATTCACCTCTCACTAACACCGTCGTTAATCTTTCTTCTCACCAATTAACAAATGCAGAAAGCAGTCTTCTATCTAAAGGTCTTAATTTTGCTATCACTCCTTCCAGAATTCCTACCGAAGAAATAGTTTCAAATGTGGAAGCGGCACTCCGCACAATTCCCAAAATTCCAGCCGACCGTATCCGCTTTGACGTCGCTCAATGTCTTGATACAGCCAAAATCCCTACTTCCAATATATCTCGTGAGGAATTCATAGCTCTCAAAAATCTCCGTTCTCTTTCTGAGACAATAATCCTTCCTGCAGACAAAGGTAATGCCACAGTCATCCTGGATACTCCTTCCTACATAGAGAAAGTAAACGACTTACTTAGGGATACATCCTGTTATAATACAATTTCTCGAGACCCCACTCCTAGAGTCGAACGCGAAATTGCCCATGTCATCAAACAATCCGATCTTTCCGATGATATTAAGAAGTCCATAGTTCCGAAAAACTCCATCTGAACCAGAATTTATGGTCTTCCCAAAATCCATAAAGATAACGTACCTCTTCGTCCCATTGTGACTACGATTAACTCTCCTACCTACAAACTCGCAAAGTACTTGTCGAATCAGTTTAAGACCTATACTGGTCGTACCTCTTCTTATGTCCGAAATTCCACACATTTCATCACCTTAATCTCCTCTCTCACAGTCGATCCCCAAGACATTCTCGTCAGTTTCGATGTATCATCCCTATTTACCAATATCCCCATACATGACTCTCTAGTTGTTCTGCGAGATCACTTGACCAATGATAACAAGTCTTTGGTTTTGGCAGATCTTGCGGAAAAATGCCTCCTTTCAACATATTTTTCTTTTAGAAGCAATTTCTACAAACAAATATCTGGAACACCAATGGGTTCTCCCCTTTCCCCTGTCATTGCTGACATTTTCATGGAAGCCTTTGAGTCTTTAGCCCTAGAATCTTACCCCTTAAAACCAAAAGTCTGGTTCCGCTACGTTGATGATACATTTATCATCTGGCCCCATGGTCAACATACCCTTTCTCCCTTCCTAGATCATCTTAACTCACAACATCCGAGTATAAAATTCACAATGGAAGTAGAAAATAATCGGTCCCTTCCCTTTCTCGATGTGTTAGTCACCTCCAAGCCCAATGGCCGATTGGGTCACTCTGTTTATAGAAAAAAGACTCACACGAATCGTTACCTACATGCTTCATCACACCACCATCCTGCCCAAAAGAATTCTGTGATCAACTCTCTCATCCATCGGGCCATTTCGATTTCTGAACCCGACAACCTTAGAGAAGAACTTGGCCATCTGCAAAAAACCCTTGTCGCCAACGGTTACTCCAAGTCCACAATTCAAAATATTACACACCGACATCTACATCCCCCTTTACACCCTAGGACGACAAATTCAGAATCTTCGGGTAATACTCCTGTGGCTTTTCTTCCGTATATTCGAAATGTCACTGATAGGATTGGCAAAATTCTTCGCAAAGAAGGTATCAGGACTACTTTTCGACCACCCAAGAGAATCTCACAATATCTACCCTCTCCTAAGGACCCATTACCGCCCCTATCTTCCTGTGGTGTCTATTCTATTCCTTGTTCATGTGGACATGTGTATATTGGCGAAACTGGTCGTTCCGTCAAAACTCGGATTCAAGAGCATCAAAGATGCATTCAATCAGGTCTTTTCTCCCATTCTGCAGTTGCAGAACACTGCCAAGAAACCGGTCATTCCATATTGTTCGAAAAAACCCATATTATTTCTAAAAGCCCCTTCTTTTATTCCAGGAAAATCCGCGAATCTCTAGAGATCCGAAAAAATTCCCATAATATCAATCGAGAGGAAGGATACTACTTGTCTCCCATCTGGAATCTCAGTCTAGAACCGCCGTCCGGTCCCGCCACCACGATGCAGCCACATGATTGGCCAGCGCGCGCTTCTTGACGTTCGCGACACGAAGTATGCCGATAAGTCCCGACACGACAGGCACCGCGACTATAAATAGAGCGGTAGCGGAGTAATCGTCGGATTCACTCCCCGCCTCTCGACGCGTTAGTGTTCTGAGCTGTTGGACGTGAATCCCTGTCCTGGCATTTGGTTTTCACCTCTGGCTGCGTTGAGTAGTTGAGTTACTGTGACCAAATGCCCATCTTGGTAGTTAGTATTCGCCTCTGGTTGCGTTGAGTAACTGAGTTACCGTTGCTAACTACCCATCTTCCTGTTCTTTTGTTTTCTTCTTTCTTTCTTTTTTCTTTTTTGTTCTCCTGAAGAAGCTACATACAATTGTGGCGAAACGTCGAGATGAACCCACTTTTGGGTCACTCACAAATGACACGGTCCAAACCCGGAAGACGAATAAACTATAATTCTGACTCTGGCCGTGGAAGCCTACGATTTCATTTTACATTTATCAAGTTGAAATCCTTGCTGTGGTGACAACTAAAATGCGGATAGTGAGGTGCTACATTCTTCCAGTGTTACTATATGGAGTTGAAGCCTGGACACTGACGCAAGCTACTGAAAAGCGGATTGAGCATTCGAGATGTGGACCTACAGGAGGATACTAAAAATATCATATGAGGACCATGTCACCAACGTTGAGGTTCTACAGCGAATGACAAAACAAAAAGAAGTGCTTAATTTAGTGAAACAAAGTAAGCTCGGGCACGTAATGCGGAACGAAGAAAAATATCGAATTTCGAAGGTGGTTGAAAAATCTCCGACAATGGTTTGGAATGACCTCCGCGGAGCTGTTTCGCAGAGCAGTCAACAAAACCATGATAGCCTTAATGATCGCCAACATCCGAACCGGATAAGACACTGAAGAAGAAGGAATGAAAAAAGAATTAATCATATTGAATATTAAAGAGACCAACAGTTTTCTTTGTCTGTGACTGTGAATGTACTTCATTTTTTATAAGCACGGTTATTCCACTTTCTGTAATGTTGAGTACCATTCTAACCATAGTTATTATCATAAGCGAAATTAATGGCACTTTAGGACAAATATATTTACGAAAACCAGTTAAAAGGGACATAACCGCACCGTCCGCGGTAGAAGCGCAGATATATTCCGAATCTTCTACGTGATTTATCACCGATCAGGCAGGTATCGAATAACGGTGAAACTCGAACCTTTGCTAGAATTCTCTCGAACATTTTTGAATGATTATATAAACTGGATTTTATTTTACAGAGTTAATCTTTAAAACAATTTTAAGAAGTAATTGGAAAGTAAATAAAAAATTTCGTTTTACTAGTTACAAATTGAAACATAAACCATGTAAAAAAATTAAATTAAGTTAAAAAACTTACAAAAATCACACTTGAAGGGTGGTCCACTAAAATGTGTTTTCATATGATTTAAGTAATCCCCATGATACTGACAAACAAATGAACAGAGCCCACATTTATAGGTAACATTCTTAGCATGGCTTAGTGCTAAGTGTTGTTCCAGTAACAAACTGTCATTGATTGTTGTGAAACAGATCGGGCACTTGATACCCACTTTTTCATCAGTATCAACCATCACTATAACAAAAAATTTTTATTTATAACTGAATTATTAACACATAGGATAAAACTGTAGTTGTTTGTTAGATAACGAGTTATAATTGGTGAAATGAATTCAGAATATTTGTTTATTTAATTTTATTCTTCTTCTTCTTAACATGGCATACACCAGAGTGCGTAGGCGACTATCTCATTACTAGAATTCTGTTCTTGGCGGCGTGAAACAGCTCACCTGTATTGTGTATTCCTGTCCATTCTTTAATATTCCTTAACCAGGACAATTGTTTGCGGCCGGCTCCTCTCCTACCTTCGATCTTCCCTTGTAGGATTAACTGTGGTATTTCATATTTTGCTCCTCTCAATATGTGCCCAAGGTAACCAATCTTGCGTTTTTTTAATTAATTCAAAGAGTTCTCTTTCCACGCCGGCTCTATTAAGGACGTCATCGTTTCGAACTCTATCCACCCAAGGTATGCGCATCATTCTTCTCAATGACCACATTTCAAATGCTTCAAGTTTGTTGATAGATGTTTTTTTTTCAAAGTCCACGTTTAAATGCCATAAAGCAAGATGGACCATATGTAGCACTTGACCATTCTGTAGCGTATTTCGAAGTTTAGGTGTTGATTACATAGGAGCGGTCTGAATTTCACAAAAGCTTGTCTTGCCATTTGTATTCGGGTTTTTATCTCGTGTTGTGGATCCGATTGGTCATTGATTGTGGTGCCAAGGTATTTAAAAGTTTTCACTCGATTTATACGATTGTCACCTATGCATAATATCGGGTTTTCTGGAGGGTTTCTGCTAATGACCATATATTTCGTTTTCAAAATGTTGATTTTGAGGCCATATTTTTTACCTATGCTATTCACTCTATCAAGTAATAACTGCTGATCTTCCAAATTATCAGTTATAACCACTGTGTCGTCCGCATAGCGTAGGTTGCTAATTGGTATGCCGCTCACCTTAATGCCTAATTCCGTATCTTCTAATGCTTCCGCAAATATATTTTCAACATATAAATTAAAAAGCATCGGAGAGAGTATGCAGCCTTGGCGGACACCTTTCCGGATTTCAAATTCATCCGTATATTGGTCTTGATCAATCCTCACCTTTGCCATTTGGTTCCAGTATAGATTCTGAATAATTCTGATCTCCTTCTGGTCAATGTTGGCCCTATGTAGTAGTTCCATCATGATATCATGTTTAACATTGTCAAATGCCTTCTCGTAGTCGATGAAGGTGAGGTAGACATCTTTTCGTTGATCTAAGCAGTTTTGTATTAAGGTGTTCAAACATAAAATTGCCTCTCTTGTTCCTAGTCCTCCCTTAAAACCGAATTGTGTTGACCCGCTAAGTTCTTCTAGTATCTTATACATTCTTGAGTGTAATATCCTAAGGAAGAGTTTCAACAAGTGACTCATTAAACTGATTAAGCGGTGTTCATTGCATTTTGTGGCATTAGCTGTTTTTGGGATCATCACAAAGGATGACTGCAGCCATTCTCGCGGGATGTAACCAGTATCATAAATTCTATTGAACAGCCTTACCAAGATTTCGATATTCTCCTCGTCTAGTAGTTTTATTGCTTCTATATTAATTTCATCTGGACCTGTTGCTTTATGCATCTTTGTGGTTCTAACTGCATATTCTATTTCACTTCGCATTATTGATGGCCCTGATAAGTTTTCGGAAGGAAGTTTGCGCGTTGGTTGTGTTGGTCTTTCGTCATTAAAAAGGCTTTCTGCGTATTCTTTCCATGCCATTGCTATCTCTTCTTCTGACTCTATGTATTCGTTTCTGTCGTTGCGTATTCTTGTTCTGTGGTGGCTTTTGTGTATATTCGATATTTCTTTGATCTTTTTATGTAGTCCAAAACTATCTCCTTTTTCCTGCAATTGTTCTATTTCGTTGCACCTTTCCACCATCCAACGTTCTTTTGCTTTCTTAATTTTCTGACGGATTTCTTTGTGTATCTGTTTGTATTTGTCTTGATTACGTTGTTGTTTATGTTGCCTTCGCTTTTCCATTAGATCCATAATTTCGTCCGTCATCCATTCGTTATGCTTTATCTTTCTGATCTGTGTTTTAACTTCCCTGTTTACTGCCAGAATCGTTCCTTTAATATCATTGACCATCTCTTCGATATCATAATTTTGTTCTATTCCTCGCATTCTTTCATTAATTTGATTCGCATAACTCTTCTTCAGATTTTCGTCTCTCATCAGTTCTCTTGTATTTATAGGTGTGCTGGTATTTGTATTTGTTCTCTTAATTTTTGCTAGTTTTAACCTCACATCTGCTATTAGCGGATTATGATCGGATGCAATATCAGCACCTGGATAATGAATTTTATTCTACATATTTACAATTCTTGTACTTGTATACCGTATGTAATGAATACTAACTGTTTAAGGTTTAGTGGCGATGAAATTTCTACCCTTAAGACGGAATTTGCTATTACGTTCTCAAGGTCAAGCAATTACGTACTGTATTTGAAATATTTTATTGCAAACAACTCTGTTTACAATTCTACAACTACAAACTGTAGTATCAACTAAACTCAAGAGTTTTAGATAAATGTGTTAAAAGTTGAATACTTGCAAGGGGTAATTTCATCAATACTTCTCCTTATAGAAAAATTTACTTCAATGGTATAAAGGTCTTCTAGCGGAAATCGGTCTAGTCTTAAAATGAAGGTTCTATTATTATGTAGCTGCCCCACTAGTGTGTTTTGGTGCCCAGTTATTCGGTTATTACATTTGGTAGCTACATATGCTGTAAATCTGTTTACTAACAATTTGTCTTCAAAAACACAAAGCGAAAGGTCGCTTTTATCACAACTATGTATGGTTTGTTGTTTGATTTTTTTTTTTTTTTTAGTACACATCACACAATTTTTTAACGGATTTTTCTCTTTCGCTGTACCTAGAATAAGCAAAGAACTATGGTAATTTAAACAATTATGTCATAATAGATTTTCAACAACACTGCCAGGTACAGAACGACCACTAACACCAAAACTTATTTTGTACTTCTCCAAAACAACTTTTTATACCACTTTTTCGTAACTCAGTAGCATAATGACGATTTTATTTTTGGATGTCCGATTGTCCAATATTTATGCTTTTTTTGTGATATCCATATTATATATTAGCTATTAACTAACTAAACCTTAAAATCAGATTAATATGCTGCTACATACTCTCCACATTGCTGTATGGTATGGAGAGCTGGACCCTTACAGAGACATTAATGAAAAAATTAGAGGCCTTTGAGATGTCGATTTATCGACGAGTATTGCGGAAAAGTTGGGTTGATCGCATAAGAAATGAAATAGTTTTACATCGAATAGAAAAGAGCACAGAAATAACAAAAACGATAAAAATTCGAAAGTTACAATATTTCAGTCATGTAATGAGGCATCCACAGAGGTATAACCTTCTACACCTCATAATACAGGGTAAGGTCGCCGGAATGAGAGGCCCAGGCCGACCAAGAATATCCTGGCTCCTAAATCTCCGAGAATGGTATCAAGCGACCGCCGCTAATTTATTTAGAGCCGCCGTAAACAAAGTTATTATTGCCAATATGATCGCCAACTTTCGATAGTCGGACAGTGTACTGAAAGAAGAAGAAGAGTAATGAAGTCGGCATTCGGCATCAGCAATAGTATTTTAAAATGGAAAATAGAAACTATTATAACTCCTTTTTAAAACAACAAAGCTCGCAAACGAATTCGCAATACGCAATAGTCGAAAAAATGAGGTAAGTTCTTTAAATTTTAGTTATAGTTTTTACTCGAAAGATTAGGTTTAAGTCTGGCTTCAGATTTTATTCATATAATTTTTTTGATTTATTTTATTATTAAAACTATTTTACAAGTTATGAAAAGAAAATTCAATGATTTGTTCAAGCTACTGTTAATATTATAAGGACAGTATTACAAATATTGTTTTTAAAATGTTATCTTTTCAGGTACTCTTCATCACAGTTACCACAATTCTCTACTTGCGGCACAAAACGAAGGCCTATCAGTGTTCTTCTCTAACAATGAGAGATATCAAGTGTTTTCATGGTGCGTTTTATGCAGCTAATGACAAGGTTAGACAAGATTCCTTTATTCTAAACTTTTGTACAGTTCAACTACCTAAAAGTTTGCGTCCAAAAAACTCTAGACATGAAGCAAAAACAGCGTCTGTGAATGATATAGTATAATGAAGCAAAATATTCCAGTTTGCCAAAAAGCCTTTTTAAACATACTAAATATTACCAAACTACGCTTCACATACATGAAACTATTTGTAAAAACAGAGGAAGCACCTACGGAAAAATAGGGGGTGATAGCAAAACTGAAAATTTTAAAGGAAAACAAGAATTAGTTCAAAAATTTATTTATACTTTTAAAAGTATTGAATCGTATTACTGTCGCTCTTCAACACGTACGCGCTACCTTTCATCCGATTTGTCAATACAAAAGATGTCCCAATTGTATAGATCAGTGTTCTCTAGAGGAGAGAGTAAAACCATCATACTTTCGAATGATTTTTAATACTAAGTATAACCCTAGCTTTATTACTCCCAGTATGGATGTGTGTTCCCTAGGCATTGAGTTTGTAAAAAAATTAAAAGATCTATAGATAAAGAGAAGACAAAATTGATTGTTAAAAGAAAAATTCATAAGCTAGGGGCTAATGCATTTTTTTAAGTTGCTTAAAGAATCACAAGATGATTTGATAACACTATCTTTCGATTCTCAAAAAAACCTTGTACTTCCTAAAGGCCCGTTTTCACGGTACACTTTGGATGATCATCCCGGGTGAATCATCCAAAGTGAAAAATAAATGAATCGTATAAACTATTATTCATCGACAGTGATCATCCAAAATGAATATTGAACGAAGTTGAACCGAGTTCTACTTTTGTTCACTTTAGGGGATGCATCGCGGATGAATCATCCAAAGTGAACCATGTAAACATGCATTTGTTGCTGTAATTCATCGGTAGTGACTAGTGAACGGCGGCAACAGGTCCACGTGGTTGTGTATTGTCGCGTTTGAAGTGCGTAGTTGTTGTGTTTGTACGCTTGCTATCATGGTTTTTAAGTGGAAAGACGACCATACTCCTCTAATTTTGAGTTTAATGAAAGACCGACAGTGTCTTTGGAACACTAAAGCAGAGACATATAAAAATAAAACCCATAGAGAAAAAGCGTTAAAAGAAATCGTTGAGGAGCTGAATCTTCAGGGAGTGATGGTGGAAGATATTAAGTTAAAAATAAAAACAATTCGTACCCGATATTCATCTGAACTGGTTAAAGTAAATCAATCCGTAAAAAGTGGTACAGGGCCAGATGACGTTTATGTCCCCAAACTTTTTTGGTACAAACAAGCCGATTCATTCTTACGTGCAGTTTGTGTACCGAGGAGCAGCTCAGCAAGTACAGTAAGTATAGCATTTTTTTCATTTTCATACTACTAGCAATTATAAGTACATATATGTATTAGGTGGGTCGTAGGGTATTGTAGTAAGTTGAAAATAAAAACCATATCGATTTAAAATAGCTGAAATATAGTTGATCGTTTTAGACGTAAAATGTCCCACTTCATCTTGGTTGCTTACCTTACACGTATAAACAACAAAACCACAGAAAAATTAGTTACCAATTTTTATTAAGTAAATGAACAATTATACAAGAATAAGCCATTTAAATCATTTTCCACTGCCACGGTACAATTTCAGTTGAACAGAACAGATCTGCATAATCATCACGTACAGCGGCAGCAACTTTCTTGTGGTTGTTACTTGTAGCAAGTGTTATGTCTCTGAGGCCGTCGTGTGTAGTTTGTCGCCATATTCCAGGTACAATTCTGCCTTCCTCCCATAATTCAACATCAATCAATCCCTCAGTTACGTATGGTGCTTTGCAAGTAGAGGTTTGTCTGAGCCAATTATGAAGAACACAAGTAGCTTTCACCAGTAATTCAGTTGTTTCTACTTTGAGAGGAATAGGCTTTTCGAATACTCGAAAACGAGACACAAGTATGCCAAATGCATTTTCTGATAGGCGACGAGCTCGAGATAGCCGATAATTAAATACCCTTTCCTTCCTAGTTAATGATTTCTTGCTATAAGGTTTCAAAAGATAGGTTCTAAGAGGAAAAGCGTCGTCCCCAAGAAAAACACCATTTTCAGGTATATTTAACAAATTGTTCTCCAGAGCTTCGTTAAATGTACATTTGGAAAACACTAATGCGTCATTTGCTCTGCCATTTGTACCGACGTCAATATATAGGAAGTTATAATTAGCATCCACAATTGCAAAAAGAATAGTGCTGAACGTTTGTTTATAATTGAAAAAATACGATCCCGACTTCGCAGGACAGCGAATAGCAATATGTTTCCCGTCCATAGCGCCACAGCAATTAGGGAAGTTCCAAAGGGTATAATATTCCTTCATTACTTTTGTCCATTCATTAGTAGTGGTAGGCACCTGTAAAAGACAAAACTGTATACGTATGTGTATTATAAGTGGGTAAAAATTCGAGCAACTTCTTTTTGTATGATAATATGCGGTATCTGTTTCAGGTTCCGAAATGTAAAAGGAGCCCAACGCCACAGAATCCAGATACTGAAGATGTCAATTATGAAGGAAATAATACTGATACCGAGGTTATCATACCTGCGGCAGCAAATGATGTCATACCGACAGATGATGGAGTACTACCTAAAGAAAGCGAACTGGCACAGCATAACAAACGAATCAGAAAAGAGAGTCCCCAAGCAAATTTGAACACCCCATTTTCAAAAAAGCATCGTTTTTCTGGAATTTCAGCTATTGAAAAAGCAATAGATAAATTAAGTGCAATTGCTGCACAGAATGCAAGCACAGATAACGAATTTGATCATTTTTGTCGAAGCCTGTCAGTTCAGCTTAAAACCATGCCTCTGGACCGCGCCCTGATATGTCAAGAAAAGCTGCAAAAGGTTATGATGGAAGAGCGCATGTATCTCTTCAACTTAGAACAGACTCGCTCAAAGGAATCTACTCCATCACTGTATACAGTATATTCGACTAACAGTGAGACGTCAGTTTCTACACCGACTACTACAATGGAAAGATATGAAGAGAGTGCTCCTTATGATATATTATCCGAAGCATTCTCGACTATTCACAATTACCAATGAATTTATGTTTGATTTTAATTTTTGAATAAAATGCCTTTTGGATAAAGTTTTAATACGTTTTTTTTTAAATATGTAAGAAAGAATCTAATTAGGTACTAACCTTGATACAGTATTCAAGTATTTCGTAAATAGCAGCTAATACTTCTGGCATAAAATGGGAAATGGAGCATTTAGGTACACGATACAAAGCTTCGAGTGTTGAAAAGCAATCTCCTGCTGCAAGATATCTTAGTACAATTTGCAATTTCAGTCTTGGATGAAGAGATTCTCTCATGGTTGTGCTTTGCTTTTGAATTAACGGTGTGACTTTGGTAAGTAGCTCTTCAAATTGCACTTCAGACATTCTTAGATGGTTTTGTAACATGGCTTGATCTTCTGTAGACCATTCCTTTAACAAACACGTTGACGCCCCCATTTTGTAGCGTCGAAGTATCCACGGCCTTACCCACCAACGTCGTTTTTTTCTAATCTTCTGTTTTTCAAGTACATTTTCAAGTTCATTTAAAAGATATTCACTTATTATACCAATTCCAGCACGTACAACTTCAGTCGGCGCCATTTGTAAGTGAACAGACTAGTTCAGTCTTGGTGATACATGTAAACGATAATTACTTTCATCGTCGTAGTCACTTTGGATGATTCATCCGGGATGATCATCCAAAGTGTACCGTGAAAACGGGCCTTAAGAATACGGCCAAAGTGCCTACTACTCCAGGCAACTGTATTTCTATAATTTTACGATAGTCCAGAAAACCTCTCAATCAAGGCTTACTCAAAAAAATGTATTTTCGTATTATTTAACACAGGGCGAATTTGGAAAAGGGAAAAGGTTCCAACGAAATTTATTCCGCCGTTTTTGACAGGCTTAACAAAATTGATTTTCACTCTAAAATAACCACCATTACTCTAATGGCAGATGGCTGCAGTGGCCAAAATAACAATACTACGCTAATTGGAATGTGTTGCAAATGGCTTTCATCAAGAGCACCAAAACATGCACAAAACATCGAGGTAATTTTTTCGGTGATATGTCATTCTTTCTTGCCAGCTGATAGGGTCATTAGTAATATTGAGAAAGATATTAAAAAACTGAAAGTTTACTACAGTTAATCTCTTAGGGCAAAATTGAAAAGTGTTTAATTGGAAAAAACAATCTTAAGTGTTTTTAGACACACCGTTGCATGGCCTTTATCTTTTAAAAATATAAACCGCTTTTTCCTAAGAAAATGCAAAACTGAAAATATTACTAGAGGAAAAATTAATTACAGAAATTATTTGCATTTTTGGAATTTGCAAACATTTAAAAGTTTTTGGCAATATACACCTTTTAGTATCAAAACCGGCATTATCCATTATTTTTTTCAATTAAGGCTGTTTTAGCAGTTCAAGCACACTGCGATTTGAAATGGGCGTATCACATACATACATTTCTACACTGCTTACGCGAGACTATCTTTACTCAGTGGCGTCGGCCAACAGGCAACAAATGCATTACTCTCCATTCAAATTAGTTTTAACACGAACTAACTGACCGTACGCTCATGAGATTTGACGTCAAGAAGGCGATAACGGTGAACCTAAGCAACAATGATGAGTAACACGTTTCACTATTAGATTTTAGTATTTTTTAGCAATTTTCTTCAAAGTTTGAACACACTTTTCTCGATTATTACTGGACACAGAAAGGTGAAAAAAAAATCAACGATTACAGAAAAAAAACTCTTTCAAGGACGGGCGTAAAAAGTTTGGTTATAATAGAACATTAAACAGTATAATCCAATTTTTCTAATATTGTAATATTCTAATATTTCCAATATTGTGTCCAAATTTCGAGACATTTTGTCGGTAAATAACAGTTCCTAGGTTTTGGTGCACCGATAAAACAGCCTTAAAAAAAACCGTTAATAATTTAGAATAAAGTTTCTTCACTATTTGTTGTCATTTGCAACTATCTTATAAATTAAACTATATTTGTTTCAATATCACCTTCAAATAAAGGCATGTCATAGTTTTGCGTTTTTGGTACAGTACCACAAACTTCAGTGTTTTTGTTGTATAGCCAATAAAACAGTTTGTGCTTATGTAACAGTTATTGATCAATAGTTTATGACCTTTGTATAAATATCTACTAATTAAGAGTTGTTATCATGTAAGCAGCTTTTTTTCAATTTCCGATATTAGTAGTATATATACTTGAACCGGTATATACAAGGTGACACAAAAATATTGGTCATACAAATTATACCGTGATTTCCCCCCAACTTTTTTGTCTGTTGTAGTCTAAGATATCACTGCAGGATTACTACGTTCATAACACAGTTAATCAAACTCACATTTTTACAAACATTTAAAATTAGGAGGATATATTGATAATGGGTTGCCAGTCAAAAAGTGGCCACAAATATTTTTAATTCAATTATTAATAATTAATTTTTGAACAAAAATTTTATTTCGTTTATGATTCAAAAATATGGTGAAGTTGGGAAGATTTAAATAGGGACTGTATTAAATAAGTTAAAGTATTCTTGTCATAATTATTAAATTATATTAATGACAAATTAAATTTTAAATAGTCTAGCCATACCTTCATTTTCTTCTTTTTCTTCAATATCTAACAGTGATGTTTTCTTACATATTAACATCTTCAGAGCAGCCATTCTAACACTAGGTTGCAATCCAAACAACATCAGTTTCTTTAAGATATTCTGTTTTCGATTTTTTAACTTCGCTTTTACTATTACAGAATGTTTAACATGGTGTGACTCATCTAGTTTTTCAGTCACCGTAATCTTCTTTTGTTTTATATCAGTGTCCATTATTTTTTCTTGTGACACCTAAAAAATGTAAATGGTTACTGATATTGTTTTGACATATACATGAATAAATACACATCATTCCAATATTTCAATCTAGTATTAAAAATGTTAGACACAGAAATAGATAATACAACATAATGGATTCACAAGAAAATATAGCTGCAATGTGCAAATACAGATACAGAAAAAAATTGTGATTAGTATTCCAAACTTAGCGGGATATACTAACAATGATACTAACATTATCTTTCCATTTAATAGACAGAGATCAAAATCATATTTTCTCCTACTGTCCACTCCACATTCTACACAATGCAACACCCACAATGAAGCATCAACCTGAATTTTTCTGATTGAATTTACCACTGTTTAAAATAACATCTGCCAACAGCAGATATAAAAATTGCTGACCATCAGATCAATCTCATGGAAAGAAAATTAGGTCAAAAACTAGAGATTCAAGAAACACAGATCTGTGCATTGGCTAGGCTACATTGTGCTCAAGTAGACAAATTGCCAATGAAGTTGACTTAAATGAAAAAAATGTGAGAAATTTTTTGAAAAAAAAAACTACCATTGTTATAAAGTGCAGACCACTCAAGAAATATTTCTATTCAGAGAAATCCAATGAAAATAATAAGTTTTTGATGAATATTTTGTTTACAGATGAGCCACCCTTCACAATTTACAGGAAACATATTCCATCCATTGTATGTTATTGATCTCAGGAAAATAAGCCTTTGAGTATGTCTATGCATACGGAGTATTAACAAAAGTTAAATGTTTGGATTGGAATTTTGGAAGATTATATATTATTGGTACTTTTCCATCAGAGGAAATCTAAATACAGTAAAATATCTTGAATTACTATGAAATTATGCCTGCACTTCAACATCTTTAAATCTACATAAATGAAATTTGGTTTTAACAATTAATTTGTTGTGCTTTCATTCACATAATATCCAGGCCGCCATAGATTTAATTTTAACTGCCCTTGATTTTTATTTTTGAGAGACACACTCTTCTGGTCATGTTTGATCTTAAAAGATCCAGGTCAGTGTAAAGATTAAGATCAATTGTGAACAACCCATCACTGGCTGCTAAGGAAACTACTAGAAGACTCAAATTTGTTTAATACTTGACAATGGAGTTCATCTGCTGTGTGATTTTGAGTTTAGTTGCAAATCTTTAGAGGAAAACATTGCAGGTGAAGAGTACATTGACCAAAAGAAGTTAAGGATAAACAACATCCACAGTCTTGCCTGCTAACATATACAGATAGTCAGTGATATGATAAAAGATCCATATGAATCTCAATCCACCAATGGAAGCTTTAAGGTGATTATGATCTTGTCTAGCTCTATAATCCACAACAATATAGAAGCATTTCCTTTAAACTTGAAAGATAATAGGAAGGTATACATGAAACCAAAAAGAAAATAATTTTTGGGAGTGGAATTAAATTGAAAGTTGTTTAAATTTAAAGAAAATAAGTTAACCTAAAACACTTACGTCATTTTGGTTACTTTTATATCATATACAGAATTATTTGTCAGGAATGTAGTAGAATTCATAAGAAATCATTATTTATATGTATCTTTAATTAGAATGCGAATAATGTGTTAAGATATAATTAATAAAGTATTTGGTTCAAATTAGAGACACAATATTAGTGTAAAGTAGAATTTAGACACAATAGAAAATTTACAGTGGCAAAATAGCAGTAGTATAGCATTTAAGCTAATGTGTCATAATAATTGCCACAGCAATATCTCTCTGATGGTACATCAGAAGACCATTATTTCTAATTGTGATACCTAATGTATTCTGAAGAATTTAATATTAATAATTTTGATTATTAAAACAATGTATAATCGTAAGTCTGTATAATTTTAGTTCAAAACAGATAGTTGTTAACAGATTTAACACTAAATGAAAGTTTATATTAACTTAATATAAAAAAATATATATTATCGGTAAAACTGATTGGGAAAATTAAAAAACATAATAGTTTCTTCTCTTACCTGTCCGTATTTGACATGTAAAACATCATACCTAGTCTTGAAATTAGACAACATCCAATTATTCATAATCAGATAATCCAAGATCCTATAAAAGCATAGTTCACTTTTACTGTACAGTTGATTGGTTTCTAAATGTTTGAATACTTCTATGGGCTCTAAATCATTGGTTGGAAAGCATTTAATGATACTATCAAATTCCTTTTCCCTTTTTTCCAAATCTTTTTGTATCCACTGAGATAAAAGGTTAAGGGCATTGCTAGTGGTTAAAATGAAGTTCTAAAAATATATAACTAATATTATACTTAATATGTAATTAATATATGAAAGCTTAAACTAAACATTAGTTTAGCCAAATGTTAACAATATTTGAAGTTCACAATGTTACTGAAAACATTACAATCCAGTTGTCCCAAAAGTTTAAAGCTCCACAATAGAGCAATAGTAGTATACAAATAATTTATGCCTTTGATCAAAATCAATTATTAAAAACTCTTATGTAAACCCATTGAGCAAATCTGTAAACCACTATGAAACTGTATAAGAAATATAAATAGAAAACTTAAAACAAGTACCAACCTTATTTGTAAAGAATTCTTGCAGCTGCTTCCTTTCCAATCCTAGTATTTCTTCTCCTTTACAAATGTCATCTATGTGCTTACCTATCCAATTTTCTATGTTATCACTCAAGTGCTTCAATTTATACTGTTTTGCAAGGAAATAGGTAAAAAGGCAATTATTTACATTCAGTTTAGATCCTAAAAAGTCTATACAATATTCTAAAATTGTAGTTAATATAAAATGATCAGCTAATTTTAACAGTTCTTCTATAATGCCATGATTGATGGATATCTCTCCTGTATACATAAAATTAAGCACATTGTTAAAAATTGTGCTATCTGTGCAAGATACAGAAAGCTTTTCTTGTTGGACTTTATGGGTTTTTAAGATAGAATCAAAGTATGGAGAACTGCAAGCAAGAACATTCCTATGTGCTTTGATTATTTTATTGTTTACGAAAATGGTTATATCACAGAACTTACTAGCTTTCTTTTGCTCAAACAATTTTTGGAATATAACATTTGGAAAGTTAGAATTTTGGAATGTTAATGTCGGGTATTCTTCCACAGCAATCATCTAAAATATAATCTTATGAATTAAATTGAACATATTTTTATATTTACAGCAAGCTACCTTTAGTTAAAACGGGTTTTAGTAAGCTACATTTTATTATTAATAATTGTTTATAAAATAATTATAACCGGATAAATTTCATTACAAAAAATTATTTGTCACTGTCATGTCATTTGGAACTTTAAATCACGTGATTTATTGATCTGATGTGCCTCATATCTAATAGGTCTGTAGAAAAGTTAGTAGGTAAAACTCTGGCCTTATAATTATAATGATAAAACCATTCAACTATGTGTAGACATTGCAAAAGCTTAATCTATCTAAGCTTACATTTTTAAACGTAAAAAAATACCAAAGAGTCTATTAAACTTGTTCAATGTAAATAATGACTTTTGCTACTTTAATCATCAGCCAGCCACTATCTTATCTTTCACTTGTCTCCTTGTCTGTCACTTTAAACATCTGCTCATTTATAAATAAATAGTTATGTATGATATAAATTAAAAAATTTAAAACTTAGGAACTTAATATGGCTTTAGGTGAAAATATTATCAAGAGTGTATTTTACGGAAACAGGTACCAAAATGTATCAAAATCAATTAAGGTTAGAAATAATAAAAATAATACTGATTTTCAAATCTAATAGGCAAATGTGTTTTCAGGTATTAAAGAGATACAAATCTTCAAAAACTACCGGCATACCGGTGGAAAAACAACTAGAAACACCGATAATAGTAATGCGAGAACAAGATCAAGTTGAAGTAATAGGCCCCCCTGATCCAGTTTCAAATCTCAGACCTATCATGAGAAACATGCTACCCAATGAAACTGCTCTACAGACGAAACTAAGGGAAATGCAAAATGATACAGAGGAGTGGAATCAGAATTTTTGGGCTAATCACAATAAGAAGTTTATGAAGGTAAATATTTATCTGAAAATTTAAAGTACTAGGTTTGGAAGTAAAATAAATAAAAAAAATGCAATTGACAAAGTGTAAATCAAACATGTATAAAACAAACATACATTTATTACTGCTATTTGTTGTTGTTTCTAGGAAAAACAAGATTTTATCAATATGCTTCTAAGACAAGACAAAGATAAACAAATCACACCAGATGAAATGAGTGAGTTCTATAAAAGATTTTTAGATGAAAATTGGAAAACTCATGTGACATACAACAAGGAGTGGTATATCAGAAACTTAAGTATATTGTGGTATTCAATAGGCACCCATATAGAGAAACATATAGGAAGTTTACAAAAGAAGTTTGTACAATAAATATAAATATAGTACATATATAAAAATATACTATTCAGATAAACAGTATATAAATATAATGTGAAAAGTATGAAGAGTTTGATACATTTAAAATTGTGCATCTGAATGTCTACTTAGAGGCTATACTTGTTTATAGCTATTATAATTATTTTTATTTATGTAAAATCATTGTTTTGTATAGAATAAAATATAGTTGATTTTTTCTATATTGATTTCTTCCAGTTTTTTCTTTTTATTTTCTTACTTTATATTAACTCCAATTTTTCTTCTTTCCCATTGAATTCTACTTGATATCTTCATTTAGTTCTTCCTTTCCTACTTTTTCCAACTTTTTGCAATCATATTAGATATGTTGGACCTGCGCTGGAAAGCGCAGGATCAATGTGAAAAAGACAAACAGAAGACAGAGACAATTTGAGACAAATGGGAGAGGCCTATATTCAACACATGAATAGATTTTGGGTTATAGATAGATAGAATTATCTTTTCCATTATTTGCCTTAAGTAAATGGTTTCTATTGGTTATTTTTGATCAATTGCATATTTTATTTTATCTTTTTGGCCATTCCTAATATCTTTCTTTCTTGAAAGTATATATCAATGGTATTAATACTTGATTTCCATTTATATTAATGTTCAAGATTCAAAACATCATGCAGAGAAATTAGTTTTTAGGCTAAAAATAGATCTATTTCCCAAGATAGTGTCCCTTTAGTTCAAGTCACTTTGTCCATTGTTTCCCAAATCAGCAGATTCTGTCACTAAAGTGTAATTTTCAATGTAACAGTCATACTTACAATCATTCAATCTTTTAATTGCCAAAACCATTTGTGGATACATTTTCCTGGATAAAGAATATTTTCTTTTTTTACATACAAAAATTTTTTTATCATCTTTAGTTATTTATGTATTTTTATTTGTTTATATAGTTGGTCAAATATATATATTTGTGTACTATTCCCAAATGATTGGTTAACCCTTTGGCAAGTAGTAAATTAAAAAAATCGCTTTGTTATTCCAGAAATAGCAATTACATGTTTAACTTGTGGAATAGTCTTTGTTTTCTTTTTAAGTTTATTCATTTTGTGTAAAACATACACTATCCATTTTTAACAAGTTATATAATAAATTTTTTTGTAATAAATTCATATTTTCAACTAGTACCAAAAATAACAAAACACACGTTTCATTTGTAGCCTTACCTTCTATGGCATAGAACAACAACCTATTATTTCTTCTATCTTCCCACTTTTTCTTACAAACAATCTTATGAAGTTAAAGATGATCAATAGCATTATATTTTCTCCAAAAATTTATACATAACTTGGATTGATTGAACTTGTAAATTGTAAATATACATAATTGTATTAATAATAATAACTTTATGAATAAAGTTAATATATATTTATATAAGATGTGTTTTTTATATAAATTTGCCTTGTAATAATAACTCAAGTCTTCACTCAGTAAAAGAGAAATGTTCAGAACACTGAATGAGCTAGGAGTATCAAATCAGTTGGTCAATTTAACAAAACTAACTATTGAAAAAGTTGAATGTAGAGTACAAATCCAGGAGTGAACTGTCTCAACCTTTTAAAAAAAACAACAGGCTGCAGCAGAGATTCCCCCTCTACTGTATAGTGTTCAATCTGGCTCTAGAAAAGGTAATATGTATGTCACAAATCACAACCACATGTTCAATATATAACAAATCAGTGTAAATCCTTGCCTATGCTGATGATATCAATATTGCTGTGAGAACAGAAAACACTGTATGAGAGGTGTATGTAGCACTAAAAGAGTTATCTCTAAAAGTTGGTTTAATAATAAACAGTAACAAAACATGGAAATAAGCACCCTATCACAAATCCTAGAGCAACTTGTTATAGACAACATCATTGAATCAGTTAATGAATTTGTATATCTGGGAGTTCAATTTCCTGACTAGGATGAGTGGATGGAACAAGAGCCGATACTGATCCATCGAAGGGGGCTCACCTGGTGGGTTCAAAATGGACAAGCGGACAGGTACTGGAGTATATGGTAGTGGAATTGAATTTCAATCTGGCCAGGCTATAGTCTCCCATGTATCAGTATTTCAAGCTGAGATCTTTACGATCCTACCATCTGCTCAGGTAATAATAGATAGGGTTTACTTAGACAGGACCATATCTATCTGCTCTGACAGTCAAGCAGCTCTAAGGGCTTTGGAAGCGCCCAAAATCTGCTCTAAACTGGTTCTTGAGTGCCAGAGAATTCTTGCTGATGTTGCACTGACCAATATTTTAACTTAGTATGGGTACCAGGACACACAGGCGTAGAAGGGGATGAACTGTCTGACGCCCTGGCAAGATAGGGCTCATCTACTTTGCTTGTGGGACCCGGACCTGTGATTGGAAGGCCCTTCAGTACTGATTGGGTTAGTCTCAAAGGGCCAGTTGTGGAGGTATGAGACAGGCTAGGCTCCACATAGTTTGGCCATTTAAAAGTCTTACAGCTAACTTCTCCTTCTAGACCATAGAAGATGCTGTGTGATAGCCCATGGTGCTGTCTGTATAATGTGAAGGAAGAAACCTCTTCACATATCCTCTGCAACCGAGTCAAATGAGGGAATTGCCCTTGAAGACTTGTGGCTCTCTGTGAGTCCACAAGGTTTTTAAAGGATTAGACATTCGGAACGGTAGGAAGAATTCAGATTTGGAGCTCCTGCTGGTTATAGCAGATATGGGAGCCCGGAACAGCCTGGGTCCCAGAAACGCCAAAGACTAGGTCCTATTGCCTAGTCCATATGATAGGGGTGATACGATGCACCTGTCTTAGGAGATATATGTCTGAAGGGCTCATAAATGAGCCCTCCCCCGATCTACCATAACCATAACATACCTGGGAGTGCTAACACAGAAAATAACACTACAGCAGATAGAAACCGCAGAATTCTTTAATTTAAACTAGAAACGCATAGTAGGTACATTGGTAGGTTTTGAAAAATTGTGTGCGTTGATAAACGCAAACTGTTTTTTCAAAATTCTAGAAAAAATAGAATACCTATTACAACAAATTGGACCAATTAAAAGTATTTACAGAAATACATGTATAAATAAATACAGTCAAATAAAACAAACCAAGGACTAAAACAAGATTGTAATATGTCGTCAATGCTTTTTAATACATAAAGTCTATTCCATGAATACACGACTTCTTTTCGTATAAAAACAGTCGTATAGATTAAGCGAAAACAAAACAGAGCATACACATTTAATACCTTGTATCTGAACTACATTTGAAACACAGTCGTCCAATAAAAAAAGTTAACCCATTATCACTATAAATTATACCAACGTTAAGTTCAACGAGTAGAAAATATCGCTCAACTCCCAAACTGCCTCTCCCCTTTTCGAGAGATGTACCTATATCTACATATTGATACCTACATATGTAATTGTTGTATTTTATTTTTTCCCTTTTAAGAATTGTAAAATTTTTCTTTTCTGACATTATTGTTATCATGTTAAGCATATCAAACATATATAAATTTTTTCTATATTTATTTTGAATAATATTTATACTTGCATATGATACAAAACTGTACCTCAGAGCTAAACTGTATTAACTCCATTTTTTTGAAAAATTGTATTATTTCACTTTCTACATAACAGACTTCACATCTTTCATATGCAATACGATATTAAATCCTATTTAATGTAGTTTCAAAGATAAGCAACCATAAAGTGTATTAAGTCCCTCAGTAGTTCCGAGCTAAACAGTCGTTTACACTTAATACCCAGCAATGTAAGTATTATTAGTAGTATTAGTGGAGTTAATATCACATGCACATTTAAGATGTATTAACTCCACGGAACGACGTAAAACCGCGGTGTGGCACTGTAGTCAGTGTGTTTATGCTATTTCACATTGATGGTGTGTGTTTAATAACATTCTAAAGAATGTGTACCAGAGCAGATAAAATTGTGAAAAAAGCTTTAGAAAAGCATCAAGAGGTATGCTTTACTTCTCCGACGCAATGCAGTACTGATTCTGTGGAAAACAATCAAGCATTATCCTCTTCGTCGGCGATAAATAAATCTAACCTCAAAATAGGTACGTCTTAACAAATTTATTTAAAATAAAAAATTATTAGCCTTCAATATTACATAAAAACTTAATACGTATTTAGATATTTGGGCGATTTTACGTGGTATTTTAACCGAAAATCCTTGTATTAAAAATGGACTTAGTACACAATAATTACTTTAAGACCGACAGACTGTATTAACTCCATAATTCGGTTTATAACTTAAATATTAAATGTAGTTATTAAATTAGGATAACAGTAATTATGTTTTAGGAAAAGTCGGCGATCTTGATGAAGGTACAAAAAACCAAAATATGCCTATTAAAATTATTTCTAATGTTAAAATTGCCTCACCTGTATCTTGCGAAGTTGTTATAGACAATGTTTCGCCATCTGTTTCGAGCAAAGGTATAACACAATTATTTCGGTTTTTGTAAATAAATAAAATATGTACATGTTTTATAATTTTTAGAAATCAATTTGCCCATATCCTTAGATGGAAATTACACTAATGGTACAATATCAACACTGAATCATGGATCCACAAGTCTTAATACACAAAATGTTGTAGAACTTGTCTCAACAACAGGTATATTTATTTATACTTCACAATTTCCTATTTGAATCATAATATTTTTTTGTTTAGTTTCAGAAAATGGAATCATTTTACAGACTGCTTTACCCATTACCTGTAGTCCTCAAAGTATGGCAATTGTAGTGCAAGATAGAGAAGAGGTAGATCACGCGGATTTATGCTTGGAGTCTGATGACTCTATCAATGATAAAACATACGGACCAACTGACAACGAAACAGATAATTCTGAAAGTGAGTCAGATAATCAAAAACTCCCAGGTAAAAAAAGGAAATCAAATCCTCTGCGTTGGAAACGGAATGTTCGTAAAAAACAAGTGGCCGGTGGTAAAAAACGCCAAACCAAGAATACAGTTTTGCAATCGAAGCAAATTGGAGCACCATGTAAAGAAACCTGTAGCGTTGGGTGCACAAAAGCTATAACTGAAGATCAAAGACGTTGCATACATTCTGAATTTTGGGATCCTAATAAAAACATCGACATGAAAAGACAATTTGTAGCAGCAATGGTAGAATGCGTACCTGTGAGACGTATCCGGGAAACCACAGGAGCACGTTCTGGCATAAGGGAATTTACCAGGCGTTATTCATTATATTTTAATCATGTAAGGTATAAAGTTTGTCAGAAATTCTTTCTGTCTACCTTAAGTATATCCGAGACATTCGTTACAACAGCTCTTGCGAAGAAAAAGGAATGTGGAGTAGTTAATACAGACCAAAGGGGTAAACGTGAGCCTGTCAATAAAATTCCCGAATTCATCAAACAAGGCATTCGGGATCATATTAGCAAGTTCCCAACTATTGAATCGCATTATTCTAGAGAGCGTTCTCAGAAAAAATATCTTGGTTGTGAACTAAATATTACCAGAATGTATGAGATATACAGATCTGAGTTAATGGAAAGCAATACACCCGAAGAAAACATTGCTAAACTTTGGCTGTATTCTGAAATATTTAACACAGAATTTAATCTTTCATTTAAACTTCCATACAATGACACGTGTGATGAATGTGACAGATTAAATTTGGCCAAAATTCAGATGGTAGAAGGAAAAGAAAATATTGAACAAGATTATCAACAACATCTTTTGGAGGCTAGTAACAGGTATGAATTAAAAAGACTTGATAAGGAAAGAGCAGCAACAAGTGGTGGAACAATAAAATTATTGACACTGGATTTACAGAAATGTCTGCCAACGCCTGTTCTAAGTAACCAGCAGAGTTTTTATAAGCTCAAGTTATGGACATACAATTATACGATTTCAGACACTTCAGGTAATGTTACGTCTTGCATGATGTGGGATGAATCAAAGTCTGGACGTGGCGCAAACGAAATGGCTTCGGGCTTTTTGAGGTGGACTGAAGCTATAAATGAAAATATAAGAGAGATTACTGTATGGTCCGACAACTGCCCATCCCAGAACAGAAATATGATAATGGTTATGCTTTACTTTTGGATACTTCACAAGTATCCACAGATAAAAATTATAAATCACAAGTTTTTGTTACGTGGTCATACCCATTTAGAAGTGGACAGTGATCATTCTCTTATTGAGAGAGAACGAAAGAAAACACCCTTTTTAAAAATCATGACTCCCTGGGACTGGCAGCAGCTAGCACGACTTTGCTGTCGTTCTAAAACATTCAATGTAATTAATATGGAACTAAATG